GGACCCTGGGACCATGACCCGAGCCAAAGGCAGATGCTTAACCTACTAAGCCACCCAAGCTCCCCAATAAAAATATTTAAATTAAAAAAAAAAAAACACTATAGATCAGATAAATCAAAATGGAATTCTGAAAACTGTCCAAGTAACCCATAGGAAAGCAGGAAAAGGAAAAAAGAAAAATAAACACAGGGAACAAATAGAAAACAAAAAAAATGGCAGACTTGAACCCTAATATTTTTATTAATTCCATTATTAATAATTACATTAAATGTAAATTGTCTAATATCAATAGTTAAAAAACAGATGGGCAGAATGGATTACAAAACCAACCTGACTCGACTATTTTTACAGCAGTCATTCAAATATCATAGTGTAGGTAGACAGGTTGAAAGTGAACGGATGGAAGAAGATACACTGTGCAAACATTAATCAAAAGAAAGCAGGAGTGGCTGTTATTACTATGGGATAAAGTAAACTTAAAGCAAAGAAAATAATGATAAAAGAGATCAAGAAGACATAGCAAACCTAAATGTGTGTACAGCAAGCCACAGAGCTACAAAGTATGTGAAGCAGAAAGTGATAGAACTAAAAGGAGAAACATAAATGCAGCTGTAGTTGAAGACTTCAGCACCTCTTTGAACAGTTGGTAGAACAACTAGACAGACGGTTCAGCAAGGACCTAGATAAATTTGAATGAGACCAGTCAGTATTATATTTTATTATGGTTTATAAACAAAAAGTTTAATTTATTCTTCAGTTACTTTGGGGTGTTTACATTGTGCCAGTTATTATGTTAAGTGCTTTTTATTAATCATTCTCACACTCTTAGGAATATTATTCCCATTTTACAGAAGAAGAAACAAAAACAAAGATAACGTAGTAAAATCTTATCTATTTCGTCCCAGAATTTACATGTTAATACTTGCTTTGGGTGTGCTTGCATGTGTGTGTGTGTGTGTGTGTATGTGTATGTGTATGTGTGTATGTGTGTGAGAGAATGTGTAAATAAAACATAAAAAGAAAAAAGGGATGCCTGGGTGGCTCAGTTGGTTAAGTGTCTGTCTTTGGCTCAGGTTATGATCTCAGGGTCCTGGGATTTAGTCTCGAATTGGACTCCTTGCTCAGCAGGGAGTCTGCTTCTCCCTCTGCTTGCTGCTCCCCCCCTGCTTGTGAGCGCCCTCTCTCTCTCTCACTGGCAAATAAATAAAAATCTTAAAAAAAAAAAAAAGAAAGAAAAAATAGCACACTATATATTAGTTGAAGTCTATTCTATTTCCTTTCCTGGGGCTGTTAGGAGCTTTCTTTCCCAAAGGTGACTACTCATGAGTTCAGTGTGTATAAACTTAGATCCATATATGAATAAAAATTTGTATATATTATTTTTCTTTTTTATCAAGTTTTTTAATCAGCATTATGTTCTTGAGTTCTTTCCATTTTAATATAAAGTTTATTACCTTAATTGCTATATAGTAATTCTGTATATAAATATACCACAGTATATTTATCCACTGTCCTTTGATGAGCATTTAGGGTATTTCCAGTGTTTCACTATTACTAACAGTGCTGTAGTTAACACCCCTTGCATACATGTTCTTTAGAGATGAGTCCAAGAAATGAAATTGCTGAGTAATAGGATAAGCATATTTTTTACTTTAGATACTGCCACGTTGTCCTCAAGAGAGTGGCTGTGCATGAAATATTTGCGAGTAGTTATTTCTCCAGTACTTGATGTAAAACTTTTTTGAATATCTCCAGTGATAAGATTTAAAATTTTAATCTTATTTTTATATATAGTTCTTTGATTAGTGAGCTTGAGTATCTTTTCATGTTTATTGGTAATTTGTATTATCTGTATTTGCTGTAAATTGCCTGACCCATTTTATTTCTTGCTTAATAGGAATTCTTTTTTTCTTAAGATTTTATTTATTTATTTATTAGAGGAAGAGAGAGAGAGAGAGAATGTGGCGTGAGGGGCAGAGGGGGAGGGAGAGGGATAAGCAGGCTCCTCGCTGAATGTGGAGCCCGATGTGAGGCTTGATCTCACAACCCTGAGATCACGACCTGAGCCAAAACCAAGGGTCAGATGCTCAACTGAATATGCCACCCAGGAGCCCCAGTAGGAATTCTTAGTATATTTTGGATGTTAATCTTGTCTTTTGCAGATATTTTCTCGGTTTGTTATTATGTATGTTATTGTTATATATAAGTTTCAAATTTTGTTATAGGTAAGTTAATCCATGTTTTTTTTTTATGGAATTTTTGTTTTGTTTAAGACCTGTTCCTAGATCAAAATGATACTCTGTTTTCTTCTAAAAACTTAAAATTTTGTTTTAAGTTTTAAATCTATATTTTATTTCTGTTTTAGTGTTTAGTGTGAGGAGTTTTTTTTTTTTTCCATTGAATAGACAGTTATTTTGATACTATATATTGGTTCATCAGTTTGAAATACCACTTTATCTTAAATTAAATGTCCATATTTGCATACATCTGTTTCTTAGACATTCTCTCTATACCATTGGTCTCTTTATTCCAGACTCCTAACTTATCCGTATCAATGCTGCTTTCATCTACTTTCTGGAAGTTTTGCTTTTTCATTTCATTTAAATTCCTTAATTATTAGAATAAACTATTTCATCATGTTGTGAATGAAGATGTTTATTGTACTTTATTACTAGCCAGTATTAAACCTAAAAAAATTCTATTTCTTTATCCATCTTTATAATTCTCTTTGTTTCTGTTATGTGATAGAATCCAATATTAAAAGAAGTACTTGGGGAGCTATTACAGTCCAAGTTTTATTATGGAATGAAAATAGATAAACAACATTTTTGTTTAACCCAGGCATCTTGGGTTTTATTCTAATTCTTAGTTTATGAAACTACCTCAGAATGTTGTGTATACTTATTTGTAGCCTTTATTCATTTTTTTTCCTGACCTTTTTCCTTCTCCCATTCTTTCTTTTTAATCATTTCTTCTCTTATAAGGGTGGTAGAAAACAAAGGTATTCAAGCAAGGAACCATTTTTCTTTATTTTCTATATTTCAGTCTCATTGGTCATATGCCTTCCACATCACTTTATATTATTACATTGCGTGTATATGTGTATCTGAGTTTGACCAGAATACCCTTGTTTACTTGTTCATCCTTCCTTTTCTCTCAGGGCAAGCTTTAAGTCCTCCATAACACCACCATTTCTGATTCCTCCAATTAGAATTCAGTAGGCCACCACTCATAATTTGTGTAAGTCTTTATTAAGGCATTGGTCACCTTGTATTTATTTCTGTCACCATAGACTCTAAAAGTGTGGACTATATCAAAACCAACTTTCTATCAGTAGTGCCATGTATACAATAGGCCCTGGTAGACTTGAAGAATAAATTATTTTGGCCAGTGGAGAGCACCATGGGTATATGATTTACAAAATAGCAAGCTTGTAGCAAAATTTTGTATTTTTTTTTAATTTTGTATTTCTGAGGTTGCTGATACTGTGCGGATGTATTTTAGAAGTAAAATAATGATATAGTATGGTATCTTGAGACTTGATTAAGAAGAGTTGGAAGTTTTCAGGCTTCCCCATTTTATCCCCTTGCCCAGCTCTGCCATTTAATTAATCCCATGTTTGAAGTAGAAAGGGAAAACAGTTTAGACCTCAGTGGTTGGTATTGGCCTTTTCTTTCATTGGGCTAATAATTCAGACCCATTGAGACAGCTTTTTGCTAAGATTCTGAAAGAGGGAGGAAATGAGCCTGAAACTGTCCATCCAGATTTTTCTCTCCTGATTCACATCCCTTGGCCCTTGGGAGCTCATTAAATATAATTCTCTCCATTAACTCTGGTGATGCTGAGTGGTTTCCTTGGCTTTGTGTGGGAGAGGTGTGTCAGTACGGTCCCATGTGGCTGAGTCAGATGAGGAATGACCTATCCAACATTGTGTGGAGTTCACATTATGAACCACTGCTTAGGACGGTCATGGAAGGTGGTTTGCAGCTGTTTTTCCATATCTGTATGGGTAAGAAAGAGTCACATAGTTCACCCCCTTTGACTTTCCTCTTATTTTTGGAGTTGGGCATATGCATACCTAATCTGTCAAAATCTGCCATCACCTGTCAAAGATGAGATAGACCACCTATATTTTTTCAAGAATGATGAGTTCTACAAGGACCCAGGAATGACAATTTTGTCATCATAAGTGACCTCTGGGGACAACGAAGGGTGGCTGTGGAAGCACCCGAGTCAGAGTCTGTGCCTGGATTTGTGTCTGTCCAGGTGTCGTTAATTTGTGCATTGTGAACCTTCTGTTCATCTGTTGAGTGAGAGTTCTTCCCCTTAAGTTTTGGAGGGGTGCTAAATTCCAAAATATTGATGTTACTGAAAATTTGATCCTTGATGTCCTCTGAATGGTGTCTGGTTTGGTGACTATTTCTTTTATCCTTGTTTGGTCTGCTAAATTTCCTGATACGCTTACAGCATACTCCTTTTTTTCTTTCTTTGCTAGGAGCTATCTTCTCAATATTGGTTTTGATAGGTTGATATATTTACTTCCTTCATTGAATTGGAAAATTCCAAATCCAGAGTAGCATGTTATACTTGTGTTTACTACAAAAGTTATTGTCTTTAGTAAATAAATAGTTTTCCTCAAATTATTTACTATTGTCTACCAAGAATATGGGTCAGTTTTTTAGGAAGCAAGAGAAATGTCTATGTTCAATATATTAAACTTAAATAAACGTGATTTATTTATTTATTTATTTATTTATTTATTAAAGCTTTTATTTATTTATTTGACAGAGACACGGTGAGAGAGGGAACACAAGCAGGGGGAATGGGAGAGGGAGAAGCAGGCTTCCCACTGAGCAGGGAGCCCAGTGCAGGGCTCGATCCCCAGACCCTGGGATCATCACCTGAGCCGAAGGCAGACGCCTAACGACTGAGCCACCCAGGTGCCCCAAAGGTGATTTATTTTTATACTAATGAAAATATTTTACAAACTTGTTTTCTAGGCCAAGCATATCCTGATCCAGCTTTTCCTCCACAAAGGCAAGACAGATTTTATTCTGATTCTGGCAGACTATCTGGGCCAGCAGAGCTCAGAAGTTTTAATATGCCGTCTTTGGATAAAGTGGGTAAGAAATACTTTGTGTATGTATATGTTTTTTAATAATGGTGGCACACTAAAGAACTGGAAGCTGAAAAAAGGACTAATAACTGATATCTCTGGTAGCTCTTAATGCCAAAATCTTTCCTGAAAACTTTCTAGTTTTATGTTTTTTGTTATATTGTAAGTATCTGTGGCATGTTCATACGTGTTAATGGTTGATGTGGGCATTATTGTAATGGGTTTACTATATTTAGCTGTGATGGCAGATTTTACTCTGTTCCATGATTAATTTTTTAAAATTTTTCCAGCCCTCTTACATATATCCTATTTAGTAATCAGGAAGTTAAGCTAGTGTGAATGGACATAATGAAAATCCACCAGAAAAATAATTTGGGTGCATGCTTTGTTGCTGCTTTAACCAAGTACCTTGTTTAAACATTACATACTCAGATAGATTTAACTAACATTTATTGAGCAACCTACTATCTATCAAGCACTCTTTTCCTCAAACCACCTCACAGCAACCCACTGAAGTTGGAAAATATATATATCCAGTGTATCATTCAGAAGTGTATAACATTAAAAAGATTAAAAGTAAGTAGAAACTTAAAATAAATTTATTGGTAAACTGTTTCTTCAGGACAGGGTATATATTTGCGGGGGGGGTGGACATTTTCTGGTTGAAATATTTATTATTTTAGAAAATCAATCTTTTTTGAATAATCAAAGAAGGAGATCTATGGCCTGGATTAATTATAATTAGTTATAATTAAGTTCTAACCTTTGGATTTTGAAATTGTTTCCCCCCATTAATTCAAGCTTAATGTAGTGAAAGTATATATGTGATTGAATATCTGTTTTTAAACGAATGCTATTTAAAATTTTTTACATATCCTTTTTTGTTGTTATTGAACAATTCCAATTAATTAGATAATTTTTAAGTGTCTGCTGTTTAGAAGATGCCCTCCATGACATGGCAGAGAATATAATTATCATAAGGTATAGTTTCTGCCTGTAAGAAGTTAATAATTAAATGTGGAGAAAAATATATATTTTTAATTAATACTGATCAGAATAGTTAAGTTCCATTAGAAAATATACTGTGTTCACAGAAAGAACTGTCATCTAGTTGAAGGGTCAGGGAAAACTCCATGAAGGAAGTGGCATTTGAGCTACTTTTGAGGGAATTTGAAAAATTGGTTGAGAGATGAGGGTCTGTGCCAATGATGATGAACAGCATAAGTAAAAACAAAAGAGACAACACAAGTCATTGATGAATAATGGCTGTAAAGCTGAGATATTAATCACTTGACAAAGTCTTACGAGGGTTAAATGAATTAATGTGTGCTGAAGTATTTTGTAAACAGAAAAGTTCTGTATAAATGTAATACATTTTTATTGGTTTGTCAGTATATGTTACATGGAGGAGAATGGTCAGAGATCTGGTTAAAACACATTGATTAGCACTAGTGCTTATAAACATTTATTGAATGAAAGTGAATTATTTAATCTTCACAATGAACTTATGAAATAGACACTATTATCCTCATTTTATAGATGAAGAAATCAAGGCTCAAAAAGGTGCTCAGTATCTCAGGTAGGAAGTATCAGAGGCAGGACTTGAACCCATGCTTGTCTGACTCCAGAGCTGTGGTCTTGATTCCTATTCATTATTGAAATTGAGAGGGTAGTGGATCTATCAGTTGATGCACTAAATGTCTATAGAAAGCTTACCATATGACAGGCATTATGGTAGTTGCTGTATTTCAGTGGTGAATAGGAGCTCAGCATTCCTTATAACTTGAGGTCTAATAAAGACCTATATGCAGTTGTACTACATAGTAACAAAAGTAATGAGTACAAAATGTTATGGAACCATATGGGGCACTTAACCAAGATGAGGTATTGGGGTTTTGAGTGTGGGGTAGTCAAAATTTTCCTAGAGCATGTATAAGCTGAGATTTAAAGGTCCAGAATTAGCTGGACTAAAATGATGGGAGGAATAATGTTCTAGGAGAAGAGAATAGCATCTTTAAAGATTAAGATGTAAGAAGTCCTAATGAATTATAGCTGCAACATGGAGTGTGAGTCAGGGAATATTGAAACAAGTAGTGAAGAGTTTAAGCAGTGCATAGAGTTCTCAGGGCCTTGCAAACCTGTTCAAAACTTGGACCTTATTTACGGGGTAATGGGAACACCTTAGAGAAATGATATAATCAGATCTGCATTTTAGAGGAATTAGTGTGGTTGCATTATGGTGAATAGATTGTAGGGAGCAGTCAAGATTGGAGGCAGGGTAACTTCTTAGGAGTCTGTATCAGGAATCTACATGAGTGAGGGTGGTGATTTAGCAGAGGGGATGATCCAGAGATGTGAGCGAACATAGAGAAAAGAGAATTGGGAGGATTTAGAATTTGAAAGCATGTGGGAGTGTGGGGGAAGGAGTCTTGGCTGATGCCTAGGTTCCCGGCTCTGGCATCTGGGCCATTCATCGTTCTGAGACAAAGAGCAAGGAGCAGCAGCAAATTTGACAGGAAAGATTATAAGTTACGTTGTGAACTTGCAAAATTAGCATCACCTGTGATACACCTGCATGAATATTCAGAGAGGCAGTTCAGACTTCGAAGTCCTAGTAAGGGAAATAACTAGATCTGAATTACACATCTGGAAGTCATTAGTTAGTATACACCAAGTTAAAGCTGTAGGAGTGGATGGCATTTCTCAAAGAGAGAATGAAAGGAGAATAGGGCCGAGGTGGAACTCTGTGGAGACCATCATTTAAGGATGGTCAGAGGTAGTGGAGCCCACCAAAGAGACTGAGAAGGAGCAGCTAGCAAGGAAAGATAGAGAAGGGTACCATCACAAAAATTGAAGGCTGAGAGGATTTAAAGAGGGAAAGAGTGGTCAACAACGGTGAGAAATAATGTAAAATAAGGACTCATAGTGTTTACCATATGACAGGCATTACGGTAGTTGCTGTATTTCAGTGGTGATTAGGAGCTCAGCATTCCTGATACTTTTTTGATGTTGGGGAAAATAATTTTGATAGAGTGGTAGATGTTGCAAATCAATTGCAGTAAAACGAGGACAAAATGAGAGGAATTCTGAACAGTATATAATAGAGAACAATTATTGATTACAGAAGAGAGGGATAGCTGTAGGGAAATTTTCTTTTTCTGTCTCATTTTTAAATAGTAGTTGGGAGAGACTTGCTAATAGAATGGGGTCTAGCAGAAAGGGAGGAGGGAGGCAACAGAAAGAGGAAGATTTCTTAGGAAGCTACAGGGGAGGGATTCTGAGCACAGAACCAGGGTCATAGATCATCTAGAAGGATCCTTTTCCATGATAATAGGAGGAAAGATCAGGGGAATATAGTTGATACATTTGTTTGCTTGATTACAAAAAGTTAAGGGAGGTTTCTAAGTGACTGGTATAGTAGGTTTGAAGAGAATGGAGGTTTAAAATTCCTGAGGAGAAATGTGGTTTGGAAGATGCAGAATGGTTAGTCATTGAGCCGCTGCAAGTATGGCTGGAAATCCATCAGCTTGGAGTGGGCCCTGTCTCTACAAATGTGTGATTTATTTTACCTGCAGAAGTGCTGAGTGGCTCAGGAATAGGCAGAGTGGAAGTGGAGAGTTGGATTAATACAGGGCTAGAATGTTGTCAAGCACATGTAGAAATATGGCCAGTTGGGTAACGACATTGATGACTGGTTGCAGTGATGGACTTTGAAGTCAGTTAACTGGGGGAGGACATGAAAAGAGGAAACTGAAGAAAATGAAGAGAAACCAGAGACTGGAAGCTTCAGTGACAAGAACAGGTGTAGTGAGAATAACTAAATGAGAAGGCTAGGCAAGGATAGGTAGTTGTGGTCAGAGAGAGGGTTGTTTGAATTTACCTTCTCATGGACTGAGCAGTTCTTGGTGGTAACAAAGTCCAGGAACATTTATTTTGAACAGTAGCTAAATTCAAATGCTAGTATATGTTACCTGATGGAGGAATTAGGAAAGTAGGGTGGAAGAAGGAGGAGGGAAGAAGGGAGGGAGGGCGAAAAGAAAGGAAGGAAAGAAGGAAAAGGGAGAGGGGTGCCGCCTTCCAGAAGTCTCCTAATGATGCTCTTTAGTAGGGTTGCCTAGGACCAAGCTACGGGAATCATTGCCACATGCCTTTGCAGAACTTTGAGTGTGCCAGAATTTCCAGTGACCTAAAGCTTTCTTGTGGCCACAATGCAGGATGCTGGTATCAGGCTGGTTTATATGCTAACGGGGAATGGGGAAATAACAACAATCCTTTGTGATCGGGAGATATTCTAGGAATAGAGTGATCAGTCATGTATTTTTCATGGTTTAACTTTTATGTTTAGATGGTCCAGTGTCTTCAGAAATGGAATCCAGTAGAAATGATAAAAAAGACAACCTTGGTGTAAGTATTGCAAGTGGAATTTTATCCATGCGTTCAGGAACTTTCCATTCTCTTGGTTTACTAGAAGAGAAATTTAGCTAGCAATCTAGTTCTTGAAATAAAGCTGCTTCTCCCATTTTGACAAAGATATATACTTCCTGTATGCCTTATAGCTGTTTCTTTTCTGGATTGTACACTATGATAAAGTACAACTTATAGACTAGAGGCTTGAGTTCGTTTACTAAAGTTAAACAAGAATTTGGATTTTCCCCCTTTAATTTTTATTTGAATGTTTTAAAGTATATTTTTGTTATGATGTTTACAATTTTTGCTTTTAGTCACTTTATTTTATGTTGAAAATATAAACATAAACATATTGTTTTCAGTACATGCTTGATAAAAATATGTATGTTTCGGTACTCTTGGACTATTCTTGTGTTTTATCTTTAGCTAGAGTATTACTCTGTTTTGGTTAAAGCTGTTTTCTTTTGAGTTAATATTTGTGATTGCAAAACTCTGTCTGATGTAGAAAATGGAATCTTTCTCAGGAGACTATTAAGACTATCATAGACTGCTTTCTGCCTAGGTGCTTTCTTCTAAACCTAAGATTTTTAGGAAGATTATTGCAAATTTTGCTGTTGTTTTAGTGACCACTTTATGTCAATTTGTTATAGAATTTAAATGTGCCTGATTCATCTTTCCCTGCCGAAAGTGAAGCAGTGGGCCCTGGCTTCATTCCTCCACCTCTTGTTCCAATCAGGGCTCCATTGTTTCCAATGGATACAAGGGGCCCATTCATGAGAAGAGGACCTCCTTTTCCTCCACCTCCTCCAGGAAGCATGTATGGAGCTCCCCGAGATTATTTTCCACCAAGGGATTTCCCTGGCCCACCACATCCTCCATTTGCAAGTATGTTTTTTGTTTTTTTTTTTTTAAAACTTAGTATGTGTTCTGTAGAGTAAATCAAAGATATAATTCTACTTCCTATTCATATAGTAAGTTTTTCTCACTTGTGAGTATACCATTACTCTTCCAAATTGGGAAGGCAGCCAGCCATTAGTAGACTGTAATGAGGCTTCCACATGATTCTTCCTAATGATACGGAATTATTTCTGTATTTCGGTAATCAGGAAAATCATTGGCTTTTTGCAGCAGTCTTACATTAAGACCAGAATTATTTATATCTTATTTGATTAGAAACTGGTTACTGCATCAGTTAGTAAAAATAATTACAGCCTATATTTTAGCATTAAAATTACTGGCTGAAGTATTTTTACAAGTTTTTTTTCGTAAGTAGTTCCTCTGCAGTCCTACTTATTTAGAACCTAAAATATGTTTATCATGTTTGCACCAGTTGTTGAATTTATTGAAATTCTTTCATAGCCTCACATAAGAAAAAAAGAGTTTTCTGCTTTTATATCTATAGATAGAACTTTAGAACTTTATGTTTCTGTAGAATAAATACATAGTTAACCAAACACTAGGAGAAAGGCTAGTATATGCCTGATGTGGTATTTCTTCCCTCATTTCTCCTCTATTTAAGGTGAAATAAAATGAATTTTGGGGAATTTCAAGATAGTCTTTAATATAACTGTAAATGTTTTAGGATAATATAAAATTAGAATTGGGAATTACTGATCAGAATTTTAAGTCTGGTGAAAATTATATGACATCAAAACTTTTAAGAAAGTTTATTATGTATTTTGAAATAATTCTTTTTAAAAAGTGTTCAGATGTTAGGTTTTCATAGGATGAAAATTGTGTCTAAAATTAATGATGTTCCCTTTAATTGTGTGCAGCTGAAGGGAGTATGTTTTTTCTCAATGTTGTAAAAATTCATTTGTTAGATCAAATAATTATTTGAGTGTCCATTTTTGAATGTAAAGATAGGTATTGTAAGTTATAAGCTAATCATTTATTAGAATTGCAGTACAGGTACTTAAAGTTAAAAAATGTCTTTTACCAATCTCTTTGAACAGTGAGAAATGTCTATTCACCGAGAGGTTTTCCTCATTACTTTCCCCCAAGAGCTGGATTTTTCCCCCCACCCCCACATCCTGAGGGTAGAAGTGAGTTCCCATCAGGGTTGATTCCACCTTCAAATGAGCCTACTACTGAGCATCCAGAACCACAACAAGAAACTTGATAATGTTTTTGATCTCTCTTCAAAAATAATTTTGACTTCTCTCTCATTTTCAGTTTAAGTAACTGCTGTTACTTAAGTAATTATACTTTTGCTCAAATTGAAGCTTAATGGAATTATAATTCTCAGGATAGTATTTTGTAAATAAAGATGATTTAAATATGAAACTTATGAGTAAATTATTTCCATTTTATTTTATTCTAGGTAGTATAATTATTTTAATTTGATTAACAAATCCACTATCACATAAACAATAATGGGAGTTTTATATGTAATCTTGCAGTTGGGGATGTTTTAAACTCCAAAGGCTGTGTCTTTTTGCCAAGAACTGTATTTACTATGGTTGTAGACAAATGTGAAAGTAACTTTATGCTTAATTAAATAAATTTTAACTGACTTTAAAGACTTGTTTGGTATTGATAATAATAATAAAATCAGCTAGTTTTCCATGAATATGACTCCATTAGTTAGTTTTTTACTTTTCTCAATAGCCTTGAGGCTCAAAACTAATGCTTTATATGGATTTTTCCCATTCTATTATCTTACTAAGAATGTGCCCTCTTTCTTGCAAGTAGACATGAATGACCAAAAGCAATAAATTAATACACTCTTGAAAGTCAACATTGATTATATTTCAATTGATTTATATTTTAAAGAAAACCAGGATATTGTCTAAATGGTAATTTTTCAGAGTTTGGATCTTCTTAGTTCATTCACTAGCATCTTGTACAGTTTTCTTTCTGGCTTGCTTTTCTCTTAATTTGCAAGATATTTACTGTTCTTAGTGGGGAATGTTGAAATTTACTTTAGGAATATTGTATTTAGACTCAATTTAGTATCTTTAGAATGTTTCCTTAACCTTCTTAACCTGTTTCCTCGGGTTTGTATTCTATTATTAGTCTTCTCCCACATTAATATGATTATGAAAGGAAAGCTAAGTATAGCTAATAAGTCTTATAATACTTTTTTTTTTAAGATTTTATTTATTTGACAGAGAGAGACAGCGAGAGAGGGAACACAAGCAGGGGGAGTGGGAGAGGGAGAAGCAGGCTTCCCGCGGAGCAGGGAGCCCGATGCGGGGCTCGATCCCAGGACCCTGGGATCATGACCTGAGCCGAAGGCAGACGCTTAACGACTGAGCCACCCAGGCGTCCCAGTCTTACAATACTTCTGTTGAGAAATTGGTTGTTTTTAGTTGTTTACTTGGAACTTTTCTTCCGTGCCAAAGGACAGAAGATTAAATATTCTTGAACAAAGCAATCATGCACTTGTAATTGGAACACTTCCTGCCAGCATTCCGCAGATGTTCTCTGGAACACTTCCTGTGAGGTATTCCTACTCCCTCTCCATTCTTACCTCTGCCTTAGGAGAGAAAGTGAAACAGACGGGATTCATGAAGTGAATTGCTTGGATCAGGTATTATGTAGAATGAGGACTGTAAAATCATCATTACACTTAGTGTGTAGAAGCCAGATTTTAGGGGAAATAGATTGCTTTTTTAAAGTTGGAAATTTGGAAAGTGAAAGGAAGAAGAGAAACAGAATAGTGATGCAGAGCATTCCAGTCAAGTGAAACTTTTGTTTGCCCTAGGATGCAGGAGACCTCTTTTGACTTAAAACAGAAGAAAGTAGTTGATGATTATTCTGCTTCTACAGATATGGTTTTAGGGTTTACCATGACTCTATTTAAAAAAGGATCTAGCCTTATAACCTTTACAAAATAACCAATTTTTTTCCCCCAAGTAGCAGCTACTGTGACAGAATTTGATATGAGCGCTACAAAAGAGATGGTGGGTTTTTTGGTGGAATATGGGAACTCTTTGATAACTGTAGTAAGTTAAGCTTACTACATTGTATTATGTGCCTTGCTTGCAATACAGAAAAGCAGCTGAACCCAGTTCAAGAAAATCGATGGAATAATACTGGTTTGTGTAACTAGGAATTTCACAGTTATATCCAGTGGCTTAAATTATATCATCAAAACTTGGTCTTTCTCTTCTAATCTCTTAGCTCCAGTTTTCTCTTTCAGTTTCATTCCCAGATATATTATCTGTCCATATAGTTGCAGCATCTTAGATTTACATGGATGGCATATTCAGTGTTTAAAATCTCAGGAAGGGAAAGAGCCCTTATTTTGAAATTGCCAACAGAATTCCTAGAGACGGCTCTTACTTTTCTGGCTTGGAGTAAATCCCATTTCCAAACCAGTCCCTTGTGGCTGGGGCATGGGATCAGGAGCTCTTGCCTGTGGTTGGGCAGGATAATCCCCATCTGAATTACATGGAATAAATTTTTTTAAAAGATTTTATTTATTTATTCAACAGAGAGCACAAGTAGGCAGAGAGGTAGGCAGAGGGAGAAGGAGAAGCAGGCTCCCTGCTGAGCAGAGAGCCCGATGGGGCTCAATCCCAGGACCCTGGAATCATGACCTGAGCCAAAGGCAGACACTTAACCAACTGAGCACCCAGGCGCCCCAATGGAATAAATTTTCTTTTTTCTTTTTTTTTAAAGATTTTATTTATTTATTTGAGAGAGAGAAAGAGAGATAGAGAGCACGAGAGGGAAGAGGGTCAGAGGGAGAAGCAGACTCCCCGCTGAGCAGGGAGCCCGACGTAGGACTCGATCCCGGGACTCCAGGATCATGACCCGAGCCGAAGGCAGTCGCTAAATTTTCTTTTAGAATAAGGGTTCTGTATGGATTGCTGGGCAGGGAGAAATAATAGGGTCTATCACACACAGGAACGATCTTACCCCTCTTAGAAAGCTAGGTGTTTTTTTCTTTGTTTTTAAGGTTTCCAAATTGCTGTATAGTACTGACTTCACCTTTGTGTGTAAAATGTAAAAAACAAAATTCATGCAGGATAAATGTGAAGCATTTTTAGATGTCAGAAATTGTTTTGGCATTAGTTCCTATGTCAAGGAACCATGGATTTTAAGTGAATGGAGCCTCGTATGTATGCAGCATAATATGATGTGGTTGCTAGAACAAATTGAGGATTTATATAAAAGATGTTCAGTATCCAAATTAGACTAAGCAGCAGTTTTTGGATAACTTTGTTCTATTCTGGATGTCATACACTAAATGTGCCTGTAGGCATTATCAGTTTAGTAAATATTAAATGATTTGAGGGTGTGTTTAGTTAAGAAGAAAGATCTAAGAACGTAGAAAAAGGAAATATCCTGGGGGGAGGGGGGATGGGATTTTAAAACTTGAGAAAGGCTTGCACTGATGCCGTGGATCAGATATAAATCCTAAGGACTGATGTTTCAATGTCTAAATGGGTGTAGAGGCTCCTACACAAAGCTAGGACTCTTAAAAGAGCACTACAAACTGCATATAAAATCTTTAAAAGACTTGACAGAAGCTTCACTGTAGGGATACTTCCACTAGCCATGACTTGTGCAGGCCCATGCTTTCTACCCAAATTGAGCTCACAGTAAAAAATAAGTGTGCCACTGAGGGAAAACCAGCAGACACAACAGACAGGAAAATTAGCAACCCAAATAAATGAGCAAAAGAATAATTTGTGATTTTAAAGTTTATTTCAAAATAACACGAGAGAGAAAAGAATGAATAAAAGCCTCAAAGAACAGGAGCATATAAAAAGGGCCAAGAGGTAATTGTAGAGAATCAAATAAAATGCCTAGAAATGAAAAAAGTCATTAGAAAAACAAACGCAAGGGATGATTAACAGCAGATTGGGCCTACCTAAAGTGATGAAATTACCAGAATGTAGTGCAGTGTTAGAGGTGGAAATATGAAAGAGAGGTTGAGGGACTTGGAGGACAGAATGAAACGTCTAGTAGGAGCCTTGTTTGAGTCCCAGAGGAAGAGACAGGATGAGGGGCAACATTCAAAGAAATAGCTGAGAATTTCCCTGAATTGATCAAAGATAGAGTAAGTCCAAAGCAGAGTAATAAAAGTATTCCTACATCTAGACATATCCTTGGGAATATGTATACAATTCTAAAAGCAACCAGTGAGAAAGACATATTACCTAGAAGCAAATAATAGACTGATAATAGCCTTCTTGTCAATAATGGATAAGATTATATGGAGTAGATTTTTAGTTGCTGTTCAGCTTTGTTGAGTTATAAATGACAAATACTTGTAATATATTGAAAGTGTACAGTGTGACAATTTGATAAATGTATACATCATGAAAGTATTCCCACCATCAACTTGATTAACACATCCTTCACCTTACCTATTTACTTTTTTGTGTTTGTGTGAGAACTCTTTTAAGTTCTACTTTTTTTTAGCAAATTTCAGTTATCAAATACAGTATTTTTAAAAAAGATTTTATTAGAGAGTGCGTGCAGGCGAGGGGCAGAAGAAGAAGGGAGTGAGAATCCTCAAGTAGACTCCCTGCTGAGAGCGGAGCCTGAGGTGGACTCAGATCTCCCGACTCTTGAGAGCATGATCTGATTGGAAATCAAGAGTTAGACGTCTAGCTCAACTGACTGAGCCACCCAGGCGCCCCTTCAGTACAATATGAACTCTGCTCACCATGTTGTATATTAGATCCTCAGACCTTATTCCTCCTGAAAGTTTATACCCTTTAAGCAGCCTCTTCCCATTTTTCCATCCCCTAGCCCTTGGCAATGACCATTCTACTGTTTCTGTTTTCCACTTATTTCAGTTGGCATAATGCCCTCCAGGTCCATCCAAGTTGTTGCAAATGGGAAGCTTGCCTTATTTTTTAGGGCTGAAAAATATTCCATTGTATATATACCACAATTTATTTATTTATTCATCTGTTGATGGACACTTAGTTAGTTTCCATGTTACAGTGTCTTGGCTATTGTAAGTAATGCTGCAATGAACATTGGAGTGCAAGTATCTCTTCAAGCTACTGATTTCATTTCCTTTGGGTATATACCATGAAGTGGGGTTGCTAGATCATATAGTAGTTCTGCTTTTAATATTTTGAGGAACTTCCATGTTATTTTTCCATAGTGGCTATACCAGTTTACATTCCCACCAACAGTGTACAAAGTTCCCTATTACCTATATCTTCACCAGCATTTGTTATCTCTTTTTTGATAATGGATAACAGGTGTGAAGTGGTATCTCATTGTGGTTTTGATTTGCATTTCCCTGATTAGTGATGTTGAGCATCTTTTCATGTGTCTGTTAGCTACTTATATGTCTTCTTTGAAGAAATGTCTGTTCAGATCCTCTGCCCATTTTTTAATTGGGTTATTTGTTTTTTTGCTAGTGAGTTGTAGGAGTTCCTTGTATATTGTGGATATTAACCCCTTAATAGATTGCTGGTTTGCAAATATTTTCTCTCATTCCATAAGTTGCCCTTTCATTTTGTTGATGGTTTCCTTTGCTGTGCACAAGCTTCTTTGATGTAGTTTTACTTTTGTTGCCTTT